AAACATCAGGAAAATACAAATAAGATATCATATTAAACCTATTATTGTCAAAAATACGAGAAATAATGAGTTAATGAGAATGTGGAGAAATGTGAACATCTGTGCACTGCTGGTGGAACTGTAAACTGTTACAGCAATTATGGAAAACAGTACACAGGTTCCTCAAAAATTAAAAATAGAACTGACATATGATCCAGCAATCCCTCTTGTGGGTACACATGTGAAGAAATTATAAACAGTACCTCCAAGAGTTATCTGCACTCCCATATTAATTACAGTAATTATTCACAAAAATACATGGAAAGACCTGAGCGTATTTTGCTATGTGAAATGTCAGACAGGGAAAGACAAACACTTCATGATATCACATATATGCAGGATCTAAAAAAATCTGAACTCATAGAAACAGAAAATAGATTGGTGGTTGTTAGGGACTGAGGAGTGTGTGAATGGGTAGATATGGTCAAAGAGTACAAGCTCCCTAACTATGTGATAAATAGTTGAAATTTTGATCTGAGGATGTGATCTACATCCCCTAAATATGTGATCTGGGGATCTGATGTACAGTGTGGTATGTGATGTAGGTGTTAGGTAATACAATAGTGGTACATTTGTGGTATTAGATTAATACCTTGTACACTTTAAACTTGAACAGTGTTATACATAAATTATATCTTGATAAAGCTGGAAAAAATTAGAGGTAACTCAAGACAAATTATAAGAACATGTGATTTGATAGTTTTAGTTGTAGTTTTCAAAAAACCAACATTACTGATCTGTGAAAAAGATTTAGCTACGGTATTCCTTACTATCACTGACATTAACTGTCATTAAAATCACATAAGAATCACATAGATAGGGTAAAATAATAATTGTGTAAAGAATTTTTTTAATTTAAAATTTGCATTATTTTAAGCACCTGTATACTTTATTGAAGCATAATTGATTTACAATGTAGTGTTAATTTCGGGTGTACAGCAAAGTAATTCAGCTAAACATACATATAAAAGAATACATATATATATATATATACACACACACACATATACATGTATATTCATCTTCAGATCATATTTCCTTATACGCTATTACAAAATATTGAGTATAGCTCCCTGTTCGATAGTAGTGTGTATATTTTAATCCCAGACTCCTAATTTATCCCTCATCCCTTCCCCATTGGTAATAAAAGATTTGTTTCTATGTCTGTGGGTCTATCTCAATTTTGCATATAAATTCATTTATGTCTTTTCTTTCAGATTCCACATAAAAGTGATATGATATCAAATATCATGTGATATGGCTTACTTTACTTAGTATGATAATCTCTACATCCTTCCATGTTGCTGTGAATGACATTTTATTTTTCATAGTTGAGTAAAATTCCATTATATATATATATATACACCACATCCAGGAACTATCATTTTTATAACATACATTTCATTTTTCTGTAGGACAGAAAAAAGGGTTACATACTGGATTAAAGATTATATTATCAAATTCAAAATAATTATTAAAGAATACTATAGAGATTTTAGTATGATACAATTTATACACCTATCAATTATTATAATTTGACACACCTTGAATTGATGTACTGAAAGTATAGCAAAGTTACACATTTGATTGTCATTTCTAATAATCAAGTATGTAAAATTATATTTTATAGTTATAGTATCTTTCGTATCAAAATACACAGATATTTATAAAATGGAACAGTAATTTAAGTGTGAAGTTTCCAATAATTTAGAAAAGTGAAAAAAAATTCTAGAGACTCATTTAAATGGTTTCACATCACTAAGGATATATTAAATATATATTATTTAAAAATTTGCATTGTTCATTTATACTTAGAAACATATCTTAATATAAAAGTAATGCAATTATTTATTTACATATTTTGATGAATGACAAACTGCAATTTTGTTTTCTGAAATATAATGTGGTGTTTACATCAGTTAGACCACAAGACTGGAAAACGTCAGTTTTCATTACAATTCCAAAGAAAGGCAATGGCAAAGAATGTTCAGATTGCCACACAATTACATGCTTTCACATGCTAGCAAGGTAATGCTCAAAATCTTTCAAGCTAGGCTTCAACAATATGTGAACTGAGAGCTTCCAGATGTGCAAGTTGGATTTAGAAAAGGCAGAGGGAGCAGAGATCAAGATGCCAACATCTGTTAGATCATAATAAAAGCAAGAGAATTCCTGAAAAAAAACATCTACTTTTGTTTCATTGACTATGTTAAAGTCTTTGACTATGTGGATCACAACAAACTGTAGAAAATTCTTGAAGAGATGGGAATACCAGACCACTCAACCTGCCTCCTGAGAAACTTGTAGACAGGTCAAGAAGCAACAGTTAGAGCTGGACATGGAACAACAGACTGGTTCAAAATTGGGAAAGCAGTACATCAATGCTGTATATTATCACCCTGTCTGTTTAACTTATATGCAGAGTACATCATGTGAAATTCCAGGCTAGATGAAGCTCCAGCTGGAATCAAGATTGTGGGGAGAAATATCAATGATCTCAGATAAGCAGATGACTCCATCCTAATGGCAGAAAGTGAAGAGGCATTAAAGAACCTCTTGATGAAGGTGAAAGAGGAGAGTGAAAAAATTGGCTTAGGATTCAACATTCAAGAAATGAAGATCATGGCATCCAGTTCCATTGCTTCATGGCAAATAGACGGGAAAAAAGTGGAAACAGTGACAGATTTTATTTGCTTTGGCTCCAAAGTCACTGTGGATGGTGACTGCAACCATAAAACTCAAAGACACTTGCTCCTTGGAAGAACAGAAATGACAAACCTATACAGCATATTAAAAAGCAGAGACATTACTTTGCCAAAAAGATGTGGAGTCAAAACTATGGTTTTCCCATTAGTTATGTATGGGTGTGAGAGTTGGACCCTAAAGAAGGCTGAATGCCAAAGAATTGATGCTTTTGAAGTGCGGAGCTGAACAAGACTTTTGAGAGTCCCTTGGTCAACAAGGTGATCAAACTAGTTAATCCTAAAGGAAATTAACCCTGAATATTCATTGGAAGGACTGATGCTGAAGCTGAAGCTCCAGTATTTTGGCCACCTGATGTGAGGAGCTGACTTATTTGAAAAGACCCCAATGCTGAGAAAGATTGAAGGCAGGAGGAGAAGGGGATGACAGAGGATGAGATGGTTGGATGGCATCTCAGACTCAATGGACATGAGTTTGAACAAGCTCTGGGTGATAGAGAAGGACAGAGAAGCCTGACATGCTGCAGTCCATAGGTTCCAAAATGTCAGGCATGACTGTGTGACTGAACACAACAGTGAAGACCAACCAATACCATAATACCAATAAAGTCTTGTGTAAGAATGTATGAGGTAGAACATTTTAAATGTTTACATATATACATGCTGCTTAGTAGAGTGCAATGCTCTCTAATGAGTCAACTCTTTGTATGACAGCAGAGAGTATGTTGATACTGCTCTCTTGAAATTCAATGAATACTAAGACACATAAGTAAATATTTGCAATATGCTGAGTCTAAGTAATAAAAATACCGAAGAAAGTGACAATGTAAAAAATAAAGCAAAAATGTAGAGATATGTAAATTTCAGGGAAGAGATTTTGAGAAGGTGCTATTGTTTACCCATTCCCTATTTCCAAATATCTACATCTCCTGAGTGAAACTCTTCCTGTCCCTGGAAGTGAGGTGAATGAGAATGAAGCTTTGTGCTCTGTAGGGATCTGTGCATAAACAAGCTACTGTGATTTCTTTGTTGTGAACTGAGCCCAGTGTCAGAGAATTCGTAGGGGAGAATCTGAAAGCAAAACAAGCACATGAGATTTATCAACAGATATTCTGCAACTCAGAGAAAAGATATTGCTTGATTCATGTGGAACTAGGAAAAACAACACAAAACAGGGTATCACTGAAATTATAAGGAAGATCCTATCTACTTCTGAAGATAAAAGTTCAGGGGGAGCAAGGGACAGATAGAATTATTCTTGAATCTTTACAGGTGCCACAGTAGCCCTTATACAAAGACATCAGTGGGAGAATCTATTTAATTTTCTTGTAGCTGAAAAAAAAAAAAAAATCCAACAACTAGATTCCCCAAGAAACAGAGAAAAAAGAAAATTAACAATTGGTCTGTGCTCATAGAAATTAAGAATTGGTCAAATGTCAGAAGAGGACATAAATTAGAAATAAAAATAATGCTGAAGAAGCAAAATTAAGATTTAAATACAATACATTTTTGTGGGTGTAGAATCAAAGCACATAATTCCTTTTTATTTTTTTAATGCAATATATATAGTGCAAGAAAGTATGGTATTTACCTTGAGTACTTAATCAATGACCAGGAATATAAAGAAGATATGTTATAGCACAGAGCAAAAATAAAATAAGATATCAATAGTGAGGGAAAAGATAGAAGGATCAAACAATAGATATAAAAGATTTTTGAAAAGAGTAATAAGAATTTTAAAATCAGAAACTTAAAAAAAAGAGAAAAGTGAGGAAATGACTGTATAAGAACTAGAAGAAAATAGCTTAACTGAAAATAGTTTTAAATCTGAAGGTGAAAAGTCTCACTAAGATTCTAGAGGACTGCTTGAAAAACATACAAGCAAAAGAATATACAATAGAATCTCCAATTCAAATGAAAATAAGAAAAATATAACATTCCAGGAAAAATGTGGAAGTAATTCAAATATAATTTATCAGTCTGGATTTTGTTTTGTTTTGCAAAACCAGAACTTGAAAAACAGTGAAAGAAAATCAAGACTTCTCTGAGGAGTATATTGCTTCTCAGTAGTTCAAAAGGCTACAAAAATATGAAGTATGGGAAGGGGAGAAAGACTATTTTCCCTAATATCCTGTCCTATGACTTGAGAGTGGGAATGCTTGGTAGCTACGGTGTCTTGGTGGGAGAATCCATGCAACTTACAGGAGAAAACTGTGGCTATGTTGTGTGTAAAGACAATAGAGAAATTTCTGTCCAAATATGAGCAACCAGAAAGAGAAGGTAATCATGAAGAAAGTGAAAAATTATTTTAGATTTTTACAAAGTAAAAAAAAAAGAGAGAGAGAAAGAAAAATGAATATCTACTTCAACAACTAATGAAAATGATAAAGTGTGAAAATGACTAAAGTAGTTTTAAAGATATAACAGAAAAAAAAAAAAAGAAAGAAAACAAAACAAAATACCACCCTTATGGCAGAAAGTGAAGAAGAACTAAAGAGAGCCCCTTGATGAAAGGGAAAGAGGAGAGTGAAAAAGTTGGCTTAAAGCTCAACATTCAGAAAATTAAGATCATGGCATCCAGTCCCATCACTTCATGGAAATAGATGGAGAAACAGCGGAAACAGTGGCTGACTGTACTTTTCTTGTCTCCAAAATCACTGCATATGGTGGTTGCAGCCATGAAATTAAAAGATGCTTGCTCCTTGGAAGGAAAGTTATTACCAATCAGGACAGCATATTAAAAAGCAGAGATGTTACTTTACCAAGAAAGGTCTGTCTAATCAAGGCTATGGTTTTTCCAGTAGTTATGTATGGTTGTGAGAGTTGGACTATAAAGAAAGCTGAGCATAGAAGAATTGATGCTTTTGAACTGTGGTGTTGAAGACTCTTGAGAGTCCCTTGGACTGCAAGGAGATCCAACCAGTCCATCCTAAAGGAGATCAGTCCTGGGTGTTCATTGGAGAGACTGATGTTGAAGCTGAAACTCCAATAACTTGGCCACCTGATGGGAAGAGCTGACTCATTTGAAAAGACCCTGATGCTGGGTAAGTTTAAGGGCAGGAGGAGAGGGGGACAAAAGAGGATAAGTTGATTGGACGGCATTACTGACACAATGGACATAAGTTTGAGTAACCTCTGGGAGTTGGTGATGGACAGGGAAGCCCAGCGTGCTGCGGTTCATGGGGTCACAAAGAGTCGGACACGACTGAGCAACTGAACTGAACTGAGTAAAAATCCACTGAAGAAACAAAACTACAGAGTCTAAGAATATTTAATACAGATGCTTTTACCATTATAAATTATCAAAACAATCTACCATATTAAAATTTAAGAAAATAAATCACAGGCTCCTATCAATAGATGCTAAAAAGTCTGTTAAATGGAGGACAATTTCTTTACATATTGTAGTGGTTTTAGCCATACATTAATGTGAATCACACATGGGTGCACATGTGTGCCCCCATCCTGAACTGCCCTCCCATTTCCCTCCCCACACCACCCCTCTGGGCTGTCCCAGAGCACCAGGTTTGATTGCCCTGCCTCATGCATTGAACTTGTGTCAGTCATCTGTTTTACATATGGTAATATGCATGTTTCAATGCTATTCTCTTAAATCATCCCATCCTTGCCTTCTCCCACATAGTCCAAAAGTGCATTGAACAAGAAATAAAATTCCAAGGAGAGTTAGAATACTATAGAAGGTAATAGAATCCAAGAAAAATCTACCTATGGGGTGGGGGGAAAGCAATTATTTAATGCATCAAGTTGTAAAAATCATATTACTTGAAAACAAAAATATTAGAGATAGAAGTTATGGCAAAAACTTGGGAAGCTGGAGAAAAAAAAAAAGAAAATAACCCCTCCCCAAAATTTTTTTTTTCAAAACACCTCATATAATATATAATCCCTTGGACATTTATATAACGTGCATATGCATCTGTACATGTATGAAAATATATTACTGAAATCTTTTTCAATTTTTAAGATTTTTTAGGACAATATTTGTTCTACATGTTATTGCACAAGTAGAATTTTGCCAGAAAGAGGAGGATCTAAGAATACTGCAGTATGAAAAAAGATAATTTTACAGATACTTCATTTATTCAGTAGTACCTGTATTGTGACTTTGTGAATGATATTATTATAGGTACAAGAATCACAATGACCTCATGGAGCTCTTCTTTAGGAAGAAATTTAAGCATGTAAAAGTGCTAGCATGCAACAACACTGGTAGCAAAGAGTGCGGGACCTTCTAGTTAACTCCCATATGTACTCACTGAAAGAAAAAGAATATTGAGCAAGTAGGGACAAATTCCTAGCATATAATTTGTTGATTCCATTTCCAAGCCTGGATGTGAGTGTGGTTTTGGATCTCCTTGTTTTGTACAAATGGCAGCTGATTGTAGGTTTCACATAGCCATTTGCTTCTAAGGGGGTACCTTCAGGTATCATTTGGTTTCATTCCTCTGTTTTCTCCAGTTTTTTGTTGAAAGTATATATATTCTTCCTGACAACATGCTGAACATTATTTAAAATCAGAAATTAGTTACTCTTGATTTTTTTTTCCTTTTAACAATATGCTATTCTTCCAGGAATTCCAGCCAGAAAACAAGTAAATAAATAGGCAGCAAATTGCTAACACAATATAAGAATAATGTATAAATACAAGAAAGACACAAACGTGTAATTGCTATAAGATGCTAGTAGATTAAATATCTAATTATGGAGAATACTTGAAAAGATAGTTCAGGAGGAGAAAGCACATATTCTATGGTAGAAAAAGTTTCTGTTCTAGATAATTGAGAGACAAGAGTATGTAAAGTATAGTAATTAAGAGTAAGAGGAAAAGATGAGCTGCAGAGATAGACAAGATAATAAATTACACATGCCTTAACACGTCTTTCTTCAATAAAGGGTTCAAGGCTTTAAGTTTTCACATCGAGCCCAATAGACAATGATTAGAAGGAATTAGATTTATAAGAAGGACATTTATTGAGTTTCAGACCACATGTTAATCTCTCAAATTAGATGAGATGTCTGAATTTAAGTTCACAGAAGAAGCTGAACTAAAATTAGAATATGCTTATTTTGTGACATCTTTGAGTTATCCTGTGAGAAATTGGATATATCAGGCCCAGGGTCATGAATGCAACTTTTGGATACAAATGTAAACATGAATTTGTAGTATAATCCATTTTCTTTTTTTCCACTGGTTTCAGCAACCTAGATACAAATGGGATAACTAGGACTTGGGATAAAATTTATCCACATGGCTGATATAGAAAAATATTTGGCAATTGTGCTACATTTGGCAGGATATCAGGTGATATAAAACAGAATAGGAAGTAACTGACAACAGAAAGAATTGCAGTTGCTGTGAAGTCAAGTGTAAATGTACTTATCTGAATATAGATAATGGAAATGATGGAGCAAGGGAGTGTGTGATTTAAACATGGTCCTGTAATGCAGGAGACACAGGAGACAGGGGTTCGATCTCTTGGTCAGGGAGATCCTCCTGTGGAGAAAATGGCAGTTCATTTCAGTTCAGTCACTCAGTCATGTCCGACTCTTTGGACCCCATGGACCACAGCATGCCGGGCTTCCCTGTCCATCACCAACTTCCAGAGTTTACTCAAGCTTATGTCCATCGTGTTGGTGATGCCATTCAACCATCTGTGGTCCCCTTCTCCTCCCACCTTCAATCTTTCCCAGCATCAGGGTCTTTTCAAATGAGTCAGTTCTTTGCATCAGATGGCCAAAGTTTTGGAGTTTCAGCTTCAACATCAGTCCTTTCAATGAATATTCAGGACTGATTTGCTTGAGGATGGACTAGTTGGATCTCCTTGTAGTCCAAGGGACTCTCAAGAGTCTGCTCCAATATCACAGTTCAAAAGGATCAATTCTTTGGTGGTCAGCTTTCTCTGCTGTCCAAATCTCACATCCATACATGACTATTAGAAAAACCAAAGCCTTGACTAGATGGGCCTTTGTTGGCAAAGTAATGTCTCTGCTTTTTAATATGCTGTCTAGGTTTGTCATAACTTTTCTTCCAAGAGTAAGCATCTTTTAATCTCATGGCTGCAGTCACCATCTGCAGTGATTTTGGAGCCCAAAGAAATAAAGTCTACTACTGTTTCCTCTGTTTCCCCGTCTATTTGCCATGAAGGGATGGGACCAGATGCCATGATCTTAGTTTTCTGAATGTTGAGCTTTAAGCCAACTTTTTCACCGGCAACCTACTCCATTATTCCTGCCTGGGAAATCCCATGAACATAAGAGCCTGGTGGCCTACAGCCCATAAGCCTGAGTTGGACACAACTGAGCAACTGAAAACACATTCAAATTTAGTCAGTTGTGGAGTAAGTCCAAGTGATGATGAACATCTATCATGGTCATGAAGGTGCATGATGCATGTGTGCTCAGTCATGTCCAACTCCTTGAGACCCCACAGACTGTAGTCTGCCAGGCTTCTCTGTCCATGGGATTCTCTAGGCAAGAATACTGGAGTTGGTTGCCATACCCTTCTCCAGGGGATATTCCCTGGAGGTAGGAAGGGGTGGAATCTGCATCTCCTGGGACTGCTGCATTGCAGGCAGATTCTTTACCATTGAGCCACAGGAGGATCCCCAAGATGAAGGTGATAATCCCCAAAATGAGGGTGTGGAGAATATAAAAACTGCAGTGTCTCCAACAATGAATGTAGGATTTCATTTCGCTATAGTATAAGAAAGAGCATGCCTATCTTAAATAGAATAATAGTCAAGCAGAACCTAGTTCCAAACAAGGTAGATTTGGATCAGTCTCATCATGCATTAATTGGTGACCTTGAAAAGTTATTTAATCTATTCTGATTTTTAATTTTCCCATCTATAAAATAAAGATAATAATAGCATTATTGCCTATGATTGCCCTGAGAATTACAGACTAATGTATGGCACCTAAAAGAGTTCCCAGTATATAAGAAACATTATGGAGACTTAGTTATTAAAAAAAAAAAATCAGGTAAGGGATTTGGAAAGAGCACCTAGTCTGGCTGCAGACTAGGTGAACAAATGAGCTGAGTCATTAAGTAGACTAGGAAATACAGTCAGGCTAGGACTGGAAGAATCATCTTGATTGCTGTTAAGAAACATGGGAGAAAGCTAGAGAGAGGAGCATGAAGAGGACAGAAAAGAAAATACAGTGTCACAAACCCAAGAGCAAAGAGCTTTTCAAATCAATGGGATTTTCTTTTCACTTCTGCCAGTGCTATGAGAAATCATAGAAGCAGCAACTCTGAA